CCTGATAGTTTCAATAAATGAAATAGATTTTTTAAATATATCACCAAATCCCAGCAACAATCACCTCGAGGCAATTTGTATGTAAGGTAATGACTCTACATTGATACAGAGGGAAATTCCCAACAATCAGACGACCCAGAGAAACAGAGAGAGCAGGAATACAGTAGCGTGATTAATACCTGTGTAAAGTTTCAGAGTATGTTTTTTTTGAAAGAAGGAAGTTATAATTTAAGGGGTTTTTGTAACTTCAAAACAATGAAGGTACGTACTACAAGAAAAGGCTTTTGTGTTTCTGTTCATGGAGTGAAACTATGGAACAGTCTGAAGATGGAATTAAAGTAATGTCCAAACATAAAACTGTTCAAAAAGTGTTATAAAAATATGATCTTCTCGAACTATAAAGAAAAGGAAAATATTTAAATTAAGTGAATGTCTCTATTTAAAACAACAACAACAAAACAACTCATGATGTGATATTATAGTATATAATATATCAGAAATCTGTTCACTGTTTTTATTACAAATTATATCAGTAAGGAAGCTGACTAAATATTAACTGATAATTTATGGCAAAGGGGTGGGATTAAATAAGTTTACTTCTTCCCTTTCAACATGTAAATTAATAAATTTTTTTGTATGTAATTTGTACAGTATTTTTTTTTCTTTCTTATTTTCTTTTCTAAATGTACTTGTATATTGTTCACATGTTGAAATAAATTACCAATCAATCAATCAATCAATCAATCAATCAATCAAAGTTTCAGTGGTTAATGTGTGATGTTTAGGTCTGATTTTTTCACCATGTTCAAAATCAGCCCATGTGATTCAAAATGTTTATGAAGGGTGGTTCACATCACTTACCAACTAACTAGGTAATTATTGCCACACTAGGATTTCACTATCACTGTTTCACTATCTCGAGGGTCTAAAGTTGATTAGCTCGTGTCCCATCTTATGGCATACTACCATAATTTGCTTTATCATCAGGGATCTTGCTCTTCTTCCTTCTTCCTGGACTTGGTCATCAGGTGACAGCATTCCTGTCATAAGCCGCCGGTGAGGTAACACGCCTCACATGTTAGCAAGTTGCATAACATTGGAACATTAGGGGAGAGATCAGAGTTTTGTATAGGGTTGGTTTAAAAGTATCTAAAAAGTATCAATAGAAAGTATCGCATTTAAAAGTGGCCAAAAGTTATAACTTTACTAAAACCATCTCATGTGCAATGAAGTAACAATAAAACCGGTCCCTTTATTTTCTATGAAAACACATTTAATGTAAATGAACTTTTTTTTTTTTCAATCCTTAAAAATGTACACTGAACAGCTACATAAAGGCCGCTTGCTACAGTGGCATGATGCAGGAAAAATTGCGTGGCGTGATGCATAGAGTTTGCATTGATATTTTGATGTAACATTGCATAAAGAGTTTGTTCAGTGAAGCCGTGCCAGTGTTTGCCGTTTTCTCTCTGCACTAACCCGAGCTCTCTCTGCATTTCAAACCAGCATGAAGTTCTCCTGCAGCAGTGAGGGACACAAAGTCCAACAAATGTCTCAAAATCCACCAATTAAGATGCAATCATGCTTCTAAGTTGTTCTCTGGATGACAGCTTTGCTTGTAAATGTCACTGAATTCTCGGCACAGTCTTTGTTTTTAACACGTTAGTCCAGTGGAAATGCTTCAAAGATTTCAAGATAGAAAAACAGGCAGGAAAAAGCACAAAAGTCATTTCCATATTCCATATGTATATGAAGATTGCCCTGCAAAATTGGTTAAAATTGGTTGGCAGCACGGTGGCACGGTGGTTAGCACTGTTGCCGCACAGCAAGAAGGTCCTGAGTTCAATTCCACCATCAGACCAGGGTCTTTCTGTGTGGAGTTTGCATGTTCTCCCCGTGTTTGCGTGGGTTCCCTCCGGGTACTCCGGCTTCCTCCCACCGTCCAAAGACATGCAGCTTGTGGGCATAATCCAAATTGCCACTAGGAGTGAATGTGAGTGCGAATGGTTGTCTGTCCCTGTGTGTTGGCCCTGCGACAGACTGGCGACCTGTCCAGGGTGTACCCCGCCTCTCGCCCTATGACAGCTGGGATAGGCTCCAGCGCCCCCCGTGACCCTGAAAAGGATAAGCGGAAATGGATGGATGAATAAAAAGCAAGCAGAATGGGAGGTGGTTCTTTGGAATTCATTTGATTTTGTAATGGAAACTCCGAGTCGCTTAAAATAGACTGTGATGATGCATGTATGCTCGTGCGTATGTGTAGAAAGAATGAGGTAAAAATGCACTGAGGTAATTACAAACACAGAAGTACAACAGGAAACATTTGCAAGAGCGTTTTGCAATCTTATCTGCTTATCTGTTTTATGAGAGTGAAAACATGAATGGGTAAAAATAAACCTGAATAATAATGAATGGATTCAAATACCTTTTCACAGTTTTTGCTGAGATTGTGCCGGAAGGTCCGACTGTGCTGTGTTCAGTACGTGACTTTGTCAGGTACAGTCAGTGCATGATGTGTTCCAAGTGTGAGGAGTGTATCTATCAAATAAACCTATCTTTGGTTTATTAGCTGTCAGTACACTTAATAATATTAGCAACACATTATTTACAAAGTTAGATATAAACATTATATGGGCTATAATAGATATAAGCTAGTGACTTAGTCTGACTGGCTGAGTGTCATTTGAATCATTTTAAATTGTTGAAACTTGCTCAGCTTGTAATTTGACGCGCTGACATTAGCCATAATCTTTGCAGACATCTCTATAAAATGTCTAAGGTGAGAGTTTAGATGAAAACAAAACTGTAATAGAATAAGAACGCAATGAATTTCTAAGTAGTGCTCTTAAAGGATATTGCTCCACTTCCTTGACCTGAGTTCCCTCTGCACTCGTTTATTGTTAGGTTCTTCATCCATTTCTTTACTCGGGGCTTATGGGCTTAAAGCTCATTAAATCATCATTTCAATATCTCAGATTATGTTTTGTCAGACACATGATAAAAGTCTTTAAAATTTACTTAAACCATATTTACAAACTCATTACTTGGTTGGGACTTATTTCAGCACGTGTGGTGTGGCAGGGAGGCGATCACATTGTTGCACTGCTGGGGTGCCAGGTCAGGCCAGTCACACACATGATGTTTTTGAGCTGTGGGCAGGTGCCATGTCATGTTGGAAAAGGGAAGCAGCATGTCCATAAAGCTTGTCAGGAGATATAAGCATGAAGTGTTCACACATCTCCTGGGAAATGCTGTGTTGGCTTTGGACTCGATGAAACACAGCAGACCAACCACCACCACCACCAACATAGAGGACATAGTATCTCAAACCATTCAAAAACCTTGACTCCTGTACCTAGGCGCTATGAGCCTGAAATGAAATACAAAAATCTTTGTACAGGATGTCGATGATCATTTGGGTAACCGTTGCATCGGCAGTTGTCCCCATGATTGTGGTTTTAGTGCCGTTCTCACTCCCGAGGCGTAACATGCCGACGTTTTGTCACGTCCCGCGGCGTTCCTTAGGAACGCGAAAGGAGACTTTCGGCGTTCTTATGGTACGCGGCGGGTTATGGCTGAAATCCAGTGCAATGACGCTCCCGCGGTAATCAACGTTCCAGCCCTGTATTCCAGCCCTAAACCTAACCTTTTTCCTCACCTTAAACAGGACTTAAATGATGTTAAATAGCGTGTTTCTAAGCTATTTGAAGGAAAAGAGCGAACATGTGTAGATCGAGTCCATACGGTTCTCACATTTCCTCATTTTTCCGAGGTCATCATTTAGGAATGTGGTGGGTAGCCGAAAACGTAATATGTTGACGATTTGTCACCTAGCGTAAAATGTTACGCTTTGGGAGTGAGAACGTGTTGGAAATACACGCCATTCATATGCAAATTTTGAATTAAATATGCTAACACTTTGAGATAATAGATTTCTGATTTTCATGAGTCATAAGCCATAATCATCAAAATTAAAACAGTTTAAAATACTTCCACTATACATGTAATTTTTTTTAGCATTTAAAGCTGCACAAGGCCTCATTTACTGGAGCAAGTATGACTAGTCTCTAAGTAAAATTAATCTACTTTATTTATTATTTGAGCTTTTCATCAGATAAAAAAACTGATAACAAAAGTCATATTTTCTTAATCAATATTGTGTCACTATTAATGTCCCAAAGTCAGCTAATTTATAAGAGCGTATGGGCTGTCTCTTCTTGACACATGCTTGATAATGATTTGCATTTTGAGTGCTGCATAAACATGATTGTCAAATCTTGAATATGAATTTCTCTCTCTGTGTCTGTCTTGCTTTTTAATGCAGCAAAGATAAACACCTCAACACAGGACCAAAGAGAGGATTCAAACAAAGGTCGACTGTCTGACAGCAGCTCACAGCCACGATGCCGCGCTACAGAGTGAACTGCAGCACCATGATGTTTCTGGTGATTTTACAGGGGGCAGGAGTAGTGCTGTTCTTTAGCTGGTACGCCCAACTCAGCCCCTGTGACCCACAACCCTCCAACGCCAAAGTCCACGTTCTGCTGCTGTCATCGTGGAGATCAGGCTCATCCTTCCTGGGCCAGGTGTTCAGTCAGCACCCGTCTGTCTTCTATCTTATGGAGCCCGGTTGGCACGTGTGGACCAAGCTGCAGAAAAACGGTGCAAGGACGCTTCGAATGGCAGTGAGGGATCTCTTACGGAGCGTGTTCCAGTGTGACTTCTCAGTGATGGAGTCCTACCTTCCAGAGAACCACAATGTGTCGTCTTTGTTTATGTGGAGTCACAGTCGAGCTCTGTGCTCACCACCAATCTGTTCCCTTACGCCGCGTAATGAGTTCAGCAACCAGACTCTGTGCCTAGAGAAATGTGGTGCTGAGGGACTGCAGAGGGTAGAGCAGGCGTGTGACTCTTACTCTCACGTGGTGTACAAAGATGTGCGGCTCTTTGAACTGGAATCACTTTATCCACTTTTGCAGGATTCGAACTTAGATCTCCGCATCATCCACCTGGTCCGAGACCCACGGGCAGTTGTGCGGTCTAGGGAAGAGTCAGCCAAGGCCTTTGTGAGTGATAACGCAATCGTCTTGGAACAGAAACGCATTAAGGAAGCAGAGGTACAGTATCAGGTCATGCAGGAGATTTGTCGCAGCCATGTGCGTATCAACGAGAGGGCGGTCCTGAAGCCTCCTCCATTTCTAAAAGGCCGCTACAAATTGGTTCGCTACGAGGACATGGCACGCAATCCACTCGAGGAGATCAATGCCATGTATGAGTTTGTAGGTCTGGAGATGACCACACAGCTGGCCACATGGATCTACAAGGTGACCCACGGAAAAGGCAAAGGCTCTATTAAAGAGGCCTTCAAGATCACGTCGAGGAGCGCTACCAACGTCTCCCAGGCTTGGCGCACCATGCTGCCACACAGCAAGGTCAGACGAATCCAGGAAGTGTGTAAAGGGGCCATGTCGTTGCTCGGGTACAGGACGGTGAACAGTGAAAAGGAACAGAAGAGGCTTGACATAGATCTCCTGGTGCCACGGGAACCCTATCAGTTCAGCTGGTTGCCTGATAAAACACAGCACCCTAACAACAATTAGAAGTGGAATGACAAAGACTTGTTAAAACAGGAATAAAAACAGACTTTTTAAAGAATGGACTACTTAAAGGACCGGATAAAGGTACCACCCTGCCCTGGTTCTCCTGGTTTGGGGGCGGAATTGGGGACACCAATAATCCCAATACTGAAACCATAAACTCCGGGGTAAACCAAGGTCTAAAGCAAGAAATCAAACTAATCAAAGGTCTGCTGTTGGTGTCAGCTGCTGTCAGGGGATGTATGGAGACACAGTTTTTGAAGTGGCCAGTTGACAGTGGGGGCCAATCAGCAGATGCCATTTTGAAGCCAGCCCAAAACAGCTCACCCAATCAGACAAGGGACATGTATAGTCTCTTAAAGGCACAGACCACACACAAAAACAGTCCACAGACTCACTGACAAAATAATTTATGACAAAACGATGTAACATAACCAAAATCCTGATTTATGATGTGCCACATTAAACACACAGATGGCCGTTGCATGCCACATTGTTTTAAGCATATGCATCAAATCATTGTCTCCTGAAGGCTTGATTCATGATGATGATGATGCTATTTGATGCTTTCTAGTGGCCACTCTTGCTCTTCAAATCCCTTATGTGCACCTCAAGGACAACCAAGACGTATAGAACAAATAAATACAAATGTTTCCTATGCAAAGTCCTTTATGGTGCAACACGATGCATAAATACTGAGCAGCCTCCAAGTATCACCAGCACCTGATGTATTAACGCACTAACAGCACTTAGAACTGAAGGGCTACTCATTTGGCACCTCACATACTTTTCTCGTGCTGATAGTGTGAGAAAAGTTAAGAAGCTGCAGAGAGCCGTGAGAAAATGCATTAGCATAATGAAACGCACCTACCCTCTCTTAGCGATGTGCATGTTATTAATATGGTACAGCCAGGAAACTCACTAACTGGACTCAAGCTTAATTTATGCCGCAGTAAAAAGTAAGGGGCGGGAATCACCAGACACCCTGCAGTATAAAAAAACAGGTATTCACAAAAAAATCATGTTTCTTTGCTCCAAAATGAGTCAAACACGCCGAGGCTGTTACTAAAACCTGCCATAAATGTTGCCTTAAGATGGAGTCAGTCTGCTGTTAGTCTGCAAATGAATGTCTGACACATCAAAATATATTGATGTAACTGACAAAAGTCTCACAGCATGGGATAGATTATCTGTTCCTTCTCAGACCAGCTCTCAGCTCAGAACTAACGCCGTTATTTTGTATCCTGGCTCCATTTAAGTGCCTGAGAATTTAAACATTATTTTTTTGCTCCCACTTGAAACTCCTCAGTGATGAAGGATCTTAACAGCACAGACGCTTCCACAGTGTATTGTAGCTATGAAGGTATACATTCATGAAGGAGTGGAATTAACATGTTTACTTAAACTGGATAAAAGTGCTCAGTGTCGTTATTTACATTTGTTTACGGGATCTGTCTGTTTTATTGATTAATACTTGATTACACTGAAATGTCTTTTAATGAGTAGCAAATGTTAAATCACGTTGATTTGTATCTTTGCAGTAAGAGAAAAAGGATAAATGGACTACTTTTAATCGTGTTTAGGGTGCTTTGTAGTAAAAAATGTACATTAATTTTTTTTTAATGCATAAAAAATTGTCAAAGGTTTTTTTTTAAAGATGGACTTCAGCTATAACTTGGTGTGAGTTTTGTGTTTCATATATGACTTAGTGTTCTGATTGAAACAATATCTTCACTTGTACATTTTTGGAAACTTGCTATGAAGTACCCAAGTGTTTTACATCATGGAGTAAAATACATAACAAAATATTGTTTATTTGAGATGATATGTACTCTGATTTAAGGTTTATTTCATCAATGGGAACTTTAAATGGGTTATTCTACTCATTAAAAACACTGGTTAGAATCTCTTTTGCACTGGTTTGGGTCTCTTTTCCATAAGCAAAGATAAAATCTTAACTACACAGACTCAAGATCTCAAAAGGAAACTAGTGCTCTCCAGTTTGAAGGGATGGGCGGTCCAGCAAGCTCAAAGCAGAGCAAAGAGTAGTGGAATAATTAGAGGCATGTTTTGACGTGAAACTGAACATGCGTTGGAGAATACCACCACTAATCATGTGACCATAGAGCCCTGTACTAGGAAGCATGTTCTCAGCAGAGTAAAGAATAAAAATAGTACCGTTCAATTCA